AGTTTTTGGTCCAAAGACGTCAACGTCCCTACAGACAACATTAGCAGCAGAAGCGCATCTTGCAGAGGGGCAATTTTTACTACCATAATAGACATTGAACATATGAATGTCTCGGATATATAGAGCAGGGACCCGAAGGCCAACAATTTCCAAAGCAGAAAGGCAAAGTACAGAACCACGATAAACTTGAATAAGGAAGAGCGCATCAAGATGATATGTCCTCTTATGCAAGGTGTGCAATTTCAATTGTTCTAAAGCAATATCGTAACAGTAATCTACTTGAGGAAAAAACTTTTAAAACAGAGAGCGGTAAATTTTTGCTGAATGCGTTCTAGTTTGTTTGCATCAGTTGACGTAATGGAATTCCAAACTACTGAAGTGTATTCAACATTGGATCTAACTAAAGTAAAATATAAAATGAACATGCATCCAAGGGTTGAATAGTTAAATGTGATACTGCGAATTATACCTAGCATCTTAATACACTGTGAAAAAATAAAATGAACATGATCATGAAAATGAAGTTTAGAATCAAGGTATACGCACAGGTCTTTGATTGAATATGTTCGAGTTATAGTGAAATGAAGAAGTTTGTATTCGTATATGAAATAGTTAGTTTTCCTAGAGAACGTTATAACTTTGGTTTTGTCAGCGTTGAGTTTCATATAGTTCGCTGCACACCCGCTACGTATACAGTCTACGTCAGATTGCAGAAGATTACAATCTTCAGGAGAGGTAATAGCACGGTAAATTTTAATGTCATCTGCAAAGAGTAGGTACCTGGAGTGCTTAATTGAATCACACAAGTCGTTTATGTAGACATTGAAAAGCAGAGAGCCAATAACAGATCCTTGTGGAACACCGGACAATAATTCAAAGGGCGATGAAATGGTTTCACCGATACGGACCCGCGATTATCTGTTGGTTAGGTAACTGCGTATCCAGTTTACATAACCATCAGAAAATCCAAGGGCACTCGGTTTGTGAAGAAGCAAAGGGTGGGAAACGAGGTCGAAAGCAGAAGTTAGGTCAAAATAAATGGCATCCACTTGACGTTGAGAGCCAACTAGGGGAGTAATAAAATCAAGATACGTTACTAGATTGGTGGTGGTGGATTTACATTTTGTGAAACCATGCTGGCAGGGATTTAATTTCAACTTGATGTCGTGTGAAACATGTTAATGGATAACATATTCAAATAAATAGAAAAATTGTGAAGAATAGAAATAGGTCTGTAGTTGTTGACTGATGCACTATTGCCTTTCTTAAAGATAGGAACAACTGCCGCTTGCTTCCATAATGCAGGAAAATACTGTTGAGAGAGACTAAGATTGAAAATATGCTTCAAGACAGGTGCGAGGATATCAGAACAACCGTTAATGACAAATTCTTCGAAGTTATCAAGACCGACAGATTTGGATGGTTTCGGACGTGCAATGGCTTTAAAAATGCCTGAATCAGAAATAGGTGATAAAAATAGATATCCCAATGATGATGATGATGAAAGGACTGGGAAGACCCCTGGAGAGGAACTATTATATATTGACTGAAAGTGATCAGCGAATGGGTTGGCAACTTCATAGTGGTCTACCAAATGAGTACCATCAACTATAAGCTGAATAGAAGTGGAGCTTTTTTTCCTAAATTTTCAAAATTGTTTGGGATCTGTCTTAAGGTTCGCATTAATAGACTCCAACCATCTAAGTCTCTCGATCTTTATTGTAGCTTTGACTAGTTTACGATAGAAGGAAAAAGCATCGTATAGGCTGGTGGATTTATGCTTCTTAAAGCGCCCGTAAAAGTAGCTCTTTTTCCTAATGTAGTATTATAAAGAACTGGAAAACTAATGTGTGAATTTAGACTTGGCTATGAAACCACGGGGGATTGATTGCTCCATATCATCTTGGACAGCCGCACACACGACCAGTCATAATTTGAGAGAATATTATATAATAACTTATAATCACCAGCAATATATTTACGATATGAATACTCACAATTCTGAGTAGGGTTAACAAGAGGCAGACTAATACCAATAACCATAGGGGGGTGATAAGAATAGGGCTTTATTATTCCTGAGTCAGGAAAGGTAATATTATAGTCATTAAAGTTTGTGAAACCAAAATCAAGCAAGTTGCTGCTGACAGCAGCGTCGATGCACTGTTGCAGGTTTAGTATACATGTGGAGGTGTAGTTCGCATCACCTGTGAGTTTAGAGTAATAATGGCAATTAGGAACTGGCAGACCATGATTCCAGTCGAAACCAGGAGCGTTGAAATCCCCGATCATGACAACTCGAAATTTTTGGTATCCAGCCTATCTTCTAAAGAGCGAAAATAATTGACATTGAATTCAGGTTTGGTATCAGGGGGAAAATAGTGGTTTCCAATGAGCAAATTTTGATTGTCCACAGTGGGAATTTCAACCCAAACACATTCGTTATAGGATTCTAAGTCACATCTACGTTTAAAAAGCGAATTCTAGAAGAGAGAGCAGTAAGAACTCCACCGTCACGTGACTTATTGGCAGACACCCGATCGGAGCGTAAAACCGTGTAACTGTCAGGAAATAGATTATGATCTAAACACAAATCATTAAGCCACGTCTCAGTCAAACAGAGAATATTGTAATCGGTAGAACAGAAATTACTGTAAAGTTCGTACTGCTTGGTCCGAAGGCCTCTGACATTTTGATAATAAATATCAAAACATGTTACAGGTTGTGCGTGTGACGCGGCTGAAGCACATGCGTTCATGAAGCTAGTGTTAGCCATTATTCAAGTGTGTCGATGCCCCCCACCGGGGCTCCTTCAGGACTAACAGAGCGGCTTGTAAGGTCAGGGGAAGGAACACCTGTCAGAGGGGAAGGGGGCCTAGACATGGCCGACTTTTCCGCAGAGTAAATCCGCTCTGGATTTAATAGCCCGTAATAAGGGGTGATTAGACAACCAATTGGCTAGACATCAGTATTGTTAATTAGATGAAAATCGTCTTCCGAAACAGCAATGTGAAATGAGGAATATGAACTAAATTTTGTTTTCAACTTTGTGCATTTTAGGGAAGCTAGCTCCAATTGAACTTTTAAAGACTGATCAACGTCAGCTGATGTCACTTCAGGAGAGAAGCAGGGGACAAATGTGCCTTGATTCTTACTCTCTTGGGTATCGTTGACAGAGTTGAGTCGCTTTTGTTACCAAAAAGTGGAGTCCTAGTTCTCCTCGGAGGGTTGGGCACCCCTGAAGGGACAGAAGAAGGATGATTTTCCTTCCTTTTCCTCTTAACCGTTATGAAGCCATCAGCCGCCTGGTTGTCGCTGGCCAAAGCAGAGGACTCAGGTAGTGAGGTCTGCCGGCTGGGTCCGGATCAGTGGGTGGCAACTGGAATAGGAGAAAGGGAAACATGGTAACTACTGCCTCTAAGAGAGGCGGAAGAAACCTCACGCAGGTCTCGACCAATCAGAGAGCCTAAACAAACCAATTTGAATACCCACAATTATATGCGGTTATGGTGGTGCATTTTATGTAAATTGGTAAGTACGAATTTTGATTTGATGTGGTTGCGAAACGAAAGTAGATATTTGCAAACGAAATTACAGCTCCATGTTAATCATATTATTTGTGTATGTGAATATTATGCTTACTACCACAAATGGAATTAGAAACATATAGAATTCTTTCAAGCCCAAAATTTTTTATGTGATCACGACCTGTCATCTAAACGATATTTGTTTTATGATATTTTCTGCAACTTTCGGTTCATTCCAAAGATTGTCTGTAGAATGTTAAAGAGTTCTAGGAGTATAGTGATGGTGTTATAATTTTTGTATTGCTTCTTGCAGCATAAACATGAAAACGAAAACATATGCTGCTGCTGCTGGGTGCTCGTCATCCAGCAAGCAAGGCATCATATTCTTCAGCTTTCCAAGTGATCCAGCACGGTATGTCTGTTTTAATTAATGGTGTAATTACTATGTGTTTCTTAATCCAATGAATAAATTAAGTTTAGTGTATGTCTGTGTTAAATTTATTCAACATAACCCAAAATTTTAGAATGTGTACCAAGTTTGTAATGTTTACTGAAGAATTATTTCTAGGTTTTGAGACTATTTGTTGTACTTTTACAGGGCTGCGGTATGGGGAGGAAAGGTTGGAATAACCTTCACTGTTGATTCTGCTAGAATGCTGCGCAATAAATATTTGTTCAGCAATCATTTCCTGGAAAGTGATTTCACTACACATTGCAGCAAGCCACAACACTGTATTGGCTACAGGTAAGGACCACTGCACTCTATACTATGAATTATGTTCTGTAATGAGAGAAGTGGCTAGCGAGAGTAATGAGAGCTTATTTTTTAAGTAATTGTCCCAAGAACCCAGTTGTGATCAAACAAATGTCATTGTCATCATTCATTATTTATGAAACTGTACATCAATATACAATTTTATTATAAATCTTATTTTACTGTTTTATGTGCAACTTTTTAAGTTCTAAATTTTAAACTTAAAGTTAATAAATCGTTCACATAAGACTGTAAAATAAGATTTATAATAAAATGGAAGAGTGCAACAGGATGCTACAATACAACCTTATCAATACACAAGTTATGTAGGATATGTCAAATAATTTTATGGTAATTAAAAATGTTTGAAAAGCAGATCACACTATCAGTAATATGATTTATAAGAAAATAAGGTGGTGATGACTGCTATGAGGGATAATTTAATGAAATATACAAAATCTTTATAATGGCAGTCCCTTTCAAGTAAAGTTTGTTATTTTCAAATCTGAAGAAGTCCATCATGTAAGGAAGCCCACTAATTTCCTTTTTAATGTTCTTTCAGGAGGGTGTTGTGGTGAATACCTGGCAGCAGCTATTTGATGATCACTTTGCTAACACATTTGAAGGTATTCGTTTGTATTCTGGTTTGAACAATAATCCAACTGAGGGACAGTTTGTAGATGCCCTGAAGATCATCAGTGCACTTGCTATCAGAGGTCTGTATGGAACTAGTTGTGAGGATGATGGTGCTACTGTTGTGTGTAACCTACAGTCATTGTTCAGGACACCTGATGGTTCTTCACTAAATCCGTCCACAAGAACCATATTCATCCTTCTAACAGGTTATTACAGGATCATTATAATAAAAATAAACTAACAATTCTTCATCAAAATATACGAGGAATTATTAATAAAGTTGATGAATTCTTAAATTCATTATCTCTTAATGCACCTCAAATTATCTGCTTATCGGAACACCACTTGAGAACTGATGAAATAAGTGAAGTAAATTTTAATCAGTATACTGTCGGTACTTCCTATTGTAGACAAACATACAGTCATGGAGGTGTGTGTGTTCTTGTTCATAAGAATATCCAATTTAATACTATTAATCTAGACCAATTTAACAAAGAGAAGGACCTTGAAATTTGTGCTTTGAAGTTAAACGTAGCTTCCAACAACTTCACTATTATTTGTATTTATAGATCTCCAACCGGCAACTTCTCATACTTTTTAAATCAGTTGGAATTAATTCTGAACAAAGTACACAAAACATCAAGTGAATTAATTTTATGTGGTGATCTCAATATAAACTATCTTAATGACAGTTCTAGGAAAGATCTCTTAGATTCTCTTTTAGCCTCTTTTAATCTCTTCAGTACGATTAACTTTCCTACCAGAATCTCTAATAACTCTTGCACCTTAATAGATAATATCTATATCAATACTCATCGGCATGAATATTCCGTGCACCCTGTTATTAATGGTCTATCAGACCATGATGCTCAGGCTATTACCTTAAATAATATCTCCATTCCTGTCCCTAAACATGTATCCACCTATACGAGAAACATTAACAACTACTCGATAAGTCAGTTTACATGTCTGTTAAGTTATGAAAATTGGGAAGATGTTTTTCTTGAAACCAATGTCAATGTAATTTTTAATAATTTTCTCAACACATTTCTAAGAATCTTCTATTCATGTTTTCCTGTGAAAAAATCCCAGTACTCTTATAAACAAAAACCATGGCTAACTACTGGTATTAGAATTTCATGTGCAAATAAAAGGAAACTTTATCTAACTTACAGAAATAATAATGATCCAAATTTCAAGGAATATTACAAGAAATATTGTCGAACCTTGGCTAGGGTCATTATGGCAGCAAAAAAATTTTATTATAATAAACTTCTATTAAAATCTAATAATAAGACCAAAACCACTTGGAACATACTTAAAACCATTACTAATATTAGAAGTCATAGTAATAATATATCTTCAATGACAATAAAGGATAAATTATCATGTAATCCATTAGCCATAGCAAATGCATTTAATACTTACTTTTCATCTGTAGCTGAAAATTTACTTACCAAAAATGTCTCTAGAAAAACCATCACTAATAATAAAGATTCCTTATCTTATTACATCAGAATTTCATACAGTCGTTTTCAACGATGAAACTCAGAAACACTACCACTTATGAAATTGAAAAAATAATCCATTCTTTGGAATCTAAGAATTCTCATAGGTATGATGAGATATCATCAAGAATTCTGAAAGTTACTACTCCCTATGTCTTATCGCCCTTAACATACATATTTAATATTATCTTACAAACAGGTATATTTCCGAATAGATTAAAATTCTCAGAAGTTAAGCCGTTATATAAGAAAGGAGATAAAACGGAATTCTCTAACTACAGGCCTATCTCACTTCTCCCAACATTTTCCAAAATTATTGAAAAAATAATTTATAAAAGACTGTATTCTCACTTAAATAAGAATAATATACTTGTAAAGGAACAATTTGGTTTTAGAGAAACGTTATCTACCGANGGGTTATAAAGTGTGAAACCCCGCAACTGTGTGATAATTAATTGTAGCCGTTATTTGTAGATTGTTAAATAAACCCAATTAACCATCTCTACGGCGTCTCAGTAACGTAAACACGTTACAATACTTTTGGAAAAAATGGAATTTTATGGGATCTCAGGCATAGTAATTAAATTAATGAGATCATATTTAGAAAACAGACATCAGAGAGTATCAGTGAAAGATATTAAGCTTAATAAAGTATTGTAGCGTGTTTTGTGTGTCACGCTACAAATAAGTTCACGCCGTCGTTTGGCATAGCGAGTTTATTCCTTCGCTCGTCTTACACACTTTACAATCATTCCCGTCTGCAGTGTCACAATCACTGCTTACAATAACCCGGCGATGTTGGACTATCTATTCTGGTGGTTATCCCAAGACTGACATCCAAGATGGCTCGGTCACGACTGGCCTCTTAGATGGCTCGACGAAGACTGAAGACTTCTCGTAGAAACTGGGCTTTTATAACCTTGGCCGCTGTTAGGCAACGAACCCTTTGTTATAACCATGGAGACTCCTATTAGAACTACAATGGACAATTGTTGTTTCCAATGCAACGGTCTATTCTAGCGTTTCCATAGAAGTTACTCTTCTGGGCTGCCGACACGTTACAGTATCTTCCAAATGGGAGCCTGTCAAACATGGAGTTCCACAGGGCTCTATATTGGGTCCATTACTATTTCTCATTTACATAAATGATTTTCCACTAACCATAAACAAAATGGCTTATCCAGTATTATTTGCAGATGATACCAGCATCATTATATCAAACACTAATCCTGAGGAATTTAAAAGAAATGTCAGTTCAGTCTTGAATGAGACATTTAATTGGTTCAATAGCAACTTTTCAACACTGAATTGTGAAAAAATCACACTTCTTGCAAGTCTTATTAAAAAAACACAAAGAAATAAAAATGCAAATAATTTCTTCTAACTCAGTGATTACCAATATTAATTGTACTAAATTCCTGGGATTAAACATTGATAGTACAATGTCATGGAAGGATCATATCACTGAACTGTCATCAAGACTAAATAAGGCTTGTTATGCAATAAGGGCAATGTCTTTAGACTTAATGAAGTCGATCTATCATTCCTATGCACACTCTATTCTATCTTACGGTATTGTCTTCTGGGGTAATTCTTATCTCAGTGACAGTATTTTTAAAATTCAAAAAAGAATAATAAGAGTTATTACTAGTTCAGGTAGATACGACTCATGCCGTGAATTATTTAAAAAATTACAAATATTGCCACTTCAGTCTCAATACATATTCTCACTACTTGTCTTTGTCATCAAGAACAGAAGTTGCTTTATATCTAATTCTGATATTCATGATATTAATACTCGTTACAACCACAATTTACACTTGCCTTCTACAAATCTATCATCTGTACAGAAAGGAGTACTCTTTTCTGGAAGTAAGATTTATAACCACTTACCATTAAATATTAAAATGCTATCTAAAGATATTAAGCATTTCAAATCTTCATTAAAAACCTACCTTACAGAACATGCATTCTATAGTATTGATGAATATTATGTTGTTTCCTTTGTCAAATCACATTGGATCATCGAGGTAAAAACGGATAAGAAATGAAACACCTTCGTCCAAATCTAACGTTTACTGGAGACTGAATGAACATTACAAGATACCAAAGGTACATTAACAAATAAAAATAGCAGTGGGTGTGGTACCAACTTATGAACCATATATATCACAAGATAAATATGGCCAACACTACCACTATAGCACTACAACACCTCCCCTTGTTGGACATATTTTACAGTCAAAATCT